AAAAAAACAAAAAACAAAACAAGAAAAAAACCCAAAAGCAAATGCTGATCTGAGTCAGTGGTGCTCAAATTCCATTAGTTAGAAACTCATTCCTTTAAATTTTCCTCAACTTCAGGAACACAAAAATTACTGAAACACATTGTGACTTAGTCTAGAAACCACTAGTTGCATGTATTTCTAATCATCTACTCCTGGGCATAATTTAAATCTCCCAACTCTCGCTAATCCTGTTTGTAAACACCTATCTTTCATATTGATATATGGATATATAGACAAGGGGACAGCAGTTTGTTGTAGTGCAGCTCTCAGATGAATTCCCCAGCGCTGTAAATGCATCCTCATGGGCAGCTCTCCAGCTCCTCGTGCTGCTGCTCCTGGAATTTTATTAAATACAGGGGAGCTGGCTCTGCCACCTGAGGTGATCTGACACTAATCAGTCTGCCAGATTGATTGCATCTATTTCATTTTTGATTACTGTACTTGGGGGTGATGCTAGCATTGTAAAAACTAGACAAATATATGRCACGGTGGATGCTTAGAGTCTCTCAGAATTCCCCTTAATGAAGAAATTCATTATTAAAAAAAATCCTAGCATTTCTCTGTCCCTCTTTTTCATTAGAGCCAAAAATAAGAGAACTTACATAGATCCTGGTAGAGATTATGCTTAAAAAGGTTTCTAACCATGAACAGAATCARATGCTCAGGGAGACTTTTAATAGCAATGGGGAAAGCAAACTAACCAGTTCCAAAACACATTTATAAAAAATTATATGACCTGAGTTGCCTGTGATATTAATGAGTCACAAGGTTCTTATCTATGTTTCCACATAACAGTAGTAAAAAAAAAATCCCACTCCAATGAAAGAACAAGCTGAACAACTGTTCTGTGCAGCCAGAAATTATTCTCCTTTTCTCAGACCTTTCTTCAGGGATTTTAARTCTAAACAAAATATATATAGTTCAGTACAGAGATATTTCATTCAGTTATAGTGACATATTATTTATATCTATTTTACATGCTTCAGTAGACACCATAACATATATAGTACATAGTGAAACYAAGGTTGACAATATATCCCCTTTTGGGGTTAAATGTCTAGTTCAATGTTATGAATTTGGGGGATAATGCCATTCAACCATGGCAGAACCAAAGCAGTCTCCCAGCCAAAGCTGAGTTTGCCCTAACAAATTAAAATTAAGCCAGTGTTTCCCCTCAGATGGGATTTCAGTTCTCCTGCACTTCTTGTTTTGCCACAAGTAAATCTTGGTGACACAGGGARCGTTCAGATTTTTTTAGGCTCACTACCAACTTTGACAGAAAACAAAGATAAATCAGCAACAGCATTAGTCTGTCTAATGTTGGGAAAAGAAAGCAGGCAGTAAACTTTGCTAGCTAAACATTTCTACATCCTCAGGTACGGGGCTATTCTCTCAACTTTTCATTACTGATTAAGATTTCCACAAATCCATTCATTTTGAAAATCACTTGCTTAGATACAGAGGACTCCAACCAACAAGCATAAGTGCATTACAGCCATAATTCACCCTCCAGAAAAAACAATTCTCATTCCTGTGTGCCAGAATATTGTTTTGCTTTGTTCATTTTTAACAGATGTGACATACTAATGCAACCAAAATTGTCTTAATTCTGGAAAAATGCCTACTGCAAATGGGCTAGCAGATCCCTACGTGGATTTCTGAGCACATCATGACAACATAAACCCAAATAATGAAATATCGAGCAACAAGAGCTGATGGTGAATCAAAGCAAAGTGGCAGTAAATCCAGAACAAGTTCAGAACAAGAGCCAGTTCTACCCCATTTAGTTTCCTGTTGCACTTACTCGCAGGAAGCTGTCCAAGGAACCATTTTCCATGTATTCAGTGACAATCATAACTGGYTTACCTGCAAGTAGAGCACAGGGGTCAGTTCTTTTTAAGGAATACATTGGAACACAATCAGCAAACCCAAACATTTCAGGAATGTGTCCAGATCTTCCKAACTGCAAGGATGATTTTACATTTAGAAAGGAAGCAAAAAATGTGTGGGCAAACCGAGGTTGGGTGCAGATAAAGATGGAAAGTGCACAATAAAGCACAGGGCACTGGAAAGAGAAGYAGAACTGTAAGATGGGCATTTTCCCTCCTTCCAGGCAGTCCTTCCTCCCTCTGTGGTGGGATCACCAACAGCACAAACCTGGACAAGGACCTGAACATTCATGGGGCAATGACAAACTTGAAGGAAATAATGCTTGAAAAACCTTTAATATCTTTCAAAACTCATCCACACATATTCAGAGCAGTTTTTGAAACCATTCCTTCCACCCCAGKGTATTTTGTGACAAACCAAGATTTTATATGCAGCTCTGACATGATGGAGAGAAACGAATGCAAAAATTAATGTGATGATGGCAAAGTTTTCAGACAAAGGTCGTTGCTAATATCTTACCATCATATGGATTTTATTATTTCATAATATTTTCTAAAGCTCTGCTTATTTTCTCTCAGTGGTAAAGAGAAAGGTGGGTAAGGGCATGAAGTTATTTGAGGAGATGAATTATTATTGCACATAAAATGCAGGAAGACAGCTGACCATAAAAGTAGGATGAAGGCTAGCATATTGCATAGTGGGCATGGTGAAAGTTTAGCTTTTAAAGTTGAACAGCATGAAGCTTGAAAAAGGTACCCTGTTTAATTAAGAACAAGAAAGCCATTTAAAAAAGCCAAGTAAATGGTAACAATTTTTTTTGACTGCTTTTAAAAATACAGCTTCTACCAAAAAGAAATCTTAGAGGAGAAACAGCAATTTCAAAGAATGCATGTTATATAATGAGGAGAAAATAGTTTGTCCTTTTTTACATGAATTAACGGGTTCAAATATAATTTTTTCTGTGGTACAAATGACATGTTATACTGTGGGGGTCACAATAATGAGTAATTGACTGTCATATGAGGAAATACTGTATGCAAAATATTAATATTGAATTATGTGGGAGATGATACAGATACAAGATCTAACAATGTCAAAGCACAAAAAAATCTATTTATGCTTAGTTTTGTCAGCAACAAATACACAGTTAAAGTACATAACTTACACTCTTTGTGTAACATGAATTCAAAGGGATTTCTGATAACACATAGAAGATGYTGCTGGACATTTCAAGCACAGGGTACCCAAAACTTTCTATGATAAATCAATTTTTTTTGCTATGCACTGTGAGCCCAGGAGACAGATACCTGGTTTCAGTACAAACTTCATCAATATTTCAAGTCTTGTCAGAAGAACTTAAATAAGAGTAAGATGCGTCTTCCAAATTACTACAGGAGCATCTTCCTGCCTTGCTCACCCTTACTCCAAAAGCCTTCAGTGCAGGATTTCAGTTGAAAAAGCTCCCATAATAAGAAGCACATGCTCTGAATTTATAAAAGACCCCTCTCCATCCATTTATCAAARTGCAGCCTTTTATGAATGATAACAAGTTGTGTCAACAGTGTTGCCCAAGTTTATTATACTAAGAGGCTACAAATTGCTGTAAATTATTAGCAAACTAAGCATAACATGCATGCTGGTTATCAARGCTGATGCCTGCAGTGTGCCCAGGAGAGTGGGGCAGGAGCTGGGAAATGCAGGACAGAAATCCACGAGGAGAAGAGGAACAACTCTACACTGGAGACAAGGCTAGAAGCCTGATGTGGTGATTGATTTGATTAAAAAAAAACCCAAAAAACAAACAATAAAAAAATCACCCCAAATCCACAAGCTTCTTGTCCTTCTATCATCCTGTACAGTGTTAAATAAAACAAATTATTATATTTACTATTATATCTACTTTACTAATATATACACTTTTRCCCTATGARATGGAGACAAATAGCTCCAGCAAMGAGTCCTCAACTCCTCTRCTGGAGCTGTCTGGAGAGGATGTTSAATCCTTGAGAATTTTATTAAATTTAGCTGGGAATATTCAGAATTTGCCCTCTAACACACTGATGGCACAGGCAGCTGGCACTCGTGACCTCCTCCCCCAGCCTGCAAAGCACAGCAGAGGTGTGAATACAGCCGAGCAGCAAACTCACTAAAAGTCACTTATACAGAATGCAGAAAGAATTAATAATGCTCAAATTCAAGAGCAATGCACAAATTCCTGCATGTRCAGCAATTATTTCTCAAGTGCTCCAGGAATACAAAATGTAACAAAACAGATTTTAGGTCAGCTSTGTACAGACTGATGGTGGCCTTTCWTRGGATTTTGTGACTGCAGATCTTGTTCTGACTGTACAAAGTGTGTGTCACTACAAAGCAGGAGATAAACCTTGATTTATGCAGGCAGACCTTTCCTAACAGGAGTGTGAAACCTAAGATAAACAATAATTTCTTTGTTAGTGAAATYAGCAAAAGAGACTTTCATGAATCACATTTAGAGAAGCCATTATTATTATTATAATTATGGATCTCCATAACATAGAGGATTTTACATAGCTTTCACTAGTGACTTTTAGACATATTCTGGTGCGGTTTTAATTTCACATACTTTACTGCAGTGTATTATGACATTTTTTCAGACCTATGTTTGTGAAACTTTGAAACACASAATTAAAAAATAATTCTTCAAACAATAAAACCTTCTACTTAAAAYCAAAGTATCTGGTGTGTTTCTATCCAGTTAAACTGAAAAGATCCTCAAAATTCCAAACCAATCACTGAAATGGTGAAGAGCTGCTTTTCCAGCAGGGTCATCTAAGATGAACTAGAAAATATCCTACCAATTTCTTCCACTCCCCTGAAAAGTCCTGGAGCATTCCTGTTATTTTTTTAAGAYTGCCTCATATAAAAACTTATTGGTYTCCCASTTAAGAACTAACGCAGGCAGATAAAWTTGATCACTAACTTTATCACTTTATTCTGCAATGGAAATATAGAAAGTGTAGCTGAAGAGGGTTATTAAAATATACGATTTTTCCAGGAAGGTACCACATACACAGGGGGGTTTCAATTACTTTTTTTTGTCTCAAAAAGAGAAGGTGATTTATTATCATAAACAAAGACCAAGAATATGCTTTAACAAAAAACTCCATCCAAACCTGTAACAAAAACACCCAAAGGCAGATTTAGAAAATTCATTTAAGTAAATATACATATAATCACAGAAATAAAATTCATTTTACTACAGATAGCTTAAAGCCTCAAGATTTTTTTTTTTTTGAGATTTTTACTAAGATGTATGAATTCTGGATCTTTAAAATGACTCATGGTGATATATATTGAATATCCCATGGAGTATTTCCCCTGCATGAAAACCAGGTAGGAAAAAAGTTTGGCCTTATTTAATAAGTGACTGGAACCAGTTGTTGTACCAGGTAGGCTGCTCATTAATTAGTGCTAATGACAAATCTAATGATTGACTTGAAAGCAGAACACAGCGCAATGAAAAAACCTCAGCACATCAGACTTCACGACTCCTGCCAGATTATCACCCAGTGCCTCTTGGCCACTTTGGAGAAACTTGTAGCTCTGGAGTTTATTAAACCTGCCAATTTATTATTGAGCTTTTTTTTTTTTTTTTTTTTGCAAAGCAAACCTCTGCAGGTTTGCAGAGCATAAATGTGGATGAGTTAATTTTTAATTCACTTTTGCTCTCCTTTGAATGATCAGCAAATCAGAGAATTATTTAGGCTGGAAGACCTCTCCTCCATGACATTTCCATGCCCAGATGTCCCCATAATTTCTTACTTTTAGTGACGACTCCCTCCAGTCGGATGATGTTGGGGTGGTCAAACTGGCCCATGATGCTGGCTTCTCCCAGGAAGTCCCTCCTCTGCTTTTCTGTGTAGCCAACTTTCAGGGTTTTGATGGCCACRGAAATTTCCTTTTTAGAAGGCAGCTTCAGGCGCCCACTGCACACTTCTCCAAATTCCCCTAAGAAAGAGAGTGGAAAAGTGACAAAAGCCGAAATATGGTTACTTCATAGGGATTCAAGAAAGAAGACTCAGCACTCAGAAGAAGCACCTGAAGTGTGGCTTTTACTTGTTTATCCTTTTGCAATTTTCTCTTGGAGAGCACAAGGAAAATTATTGCAGCATTCAAAACAGGAAGTAGTAAATATGTAGAAAGCTGTTGGAAGATGACACTTCACTTGAAAAGTGTACTAATTTTTACATAAATCACRTAAGGTTGTTTCAGTATGTTATTATTTGAGCAGCAAGTGATTTCAAGTCACTTTTAAACTTTACTTTCTAATTTATTTTTTTTTTAGACAGCCAAGTTAATAGGAAAAGGTTCTGAATAAATGTGTGGTAGGGCAATGACCTTKCTCTGTTGCTAACCCAGGCTCTGATTTGAGTCAACAGCATAGAAGTATCACTGTGAAAAGGAGGATATAACTTTATGTACATACCTAATACTAAAATACCACTTACATTACATCCTTTGGTTCCAACACTATTTGTGTTTCAGGCTGCCAAGACAGGCAGCAGCTCAGAAAACAAATTTTAGAAGCTATCACTAGTAGCTAAAGGGAGTTGAGCTCTTTTCAGACTTAATTAAAAGCATTCAACTTCTGCAAGCCCAAATGACCATTATACTTCAGCAAGAGTTCAGACACTAAGCCCAGCTCAATACTGTCAGAGCACCACAAAATAGAAAGAGCAAAACACATCTTGAAAGCAGAAGGAATGGGGAAAAAAGGCTTGAAATAAATCTTGAAGTGCCCATCTTGAGACTCCATTTTCTTGATGTTTTAATGGTCCAAAAAGCTATAACAGGCTGAGCTCTTAGAACTATTGTACAGCTGCTGTCAATTGAGACTTTACCTATGATTTCAGCAAGCAGTCCAGCAATCAATCCTTCATTTTAAAGCTAGAATTGTGTTTTTGATATTTGTTTAACTTTTGGGAAGGAAAAGGTTACAGTTAATGTCCATCAACACAGTCCCATTTAGCCATGGCTGAACAATTCAGCACTTCAGTGATTAATCAGATTCCAAAAGCACTTCAAGGCCAGTGGATGCTGCAAGAGAATAAAAGTTGGGCCCTTTCTAGCAATGAAGTTTGCTGTTGTCTATGAATATAAAGCAGGTTTACTTTCTTGGAAAAYGATTTCATTGGAAATAGCTCCCCAGGCAGCCCAGCTACATCAACCTGTGATTCTTTYGTATCCAGGGCAGCATGGGTGCTAAAATACATCTACTTGGCCAGCACCTCCAGTGACCCATGCAGCTACACTGCAACTTTTCCTGCAAATTATTATTATCTGGTCCCAGTAAGAAATAGTCTGGATCTCACCAGACACTGCTTAGGAAGAGTAAAGGCTCATGTTCCAGCAGAGCACATGGCACTGATTGTAAGGTATGAGTATGATGGCTTTTCATAGAAAGATTTCCTGAGGTGTTTATTTTTAATTATGCCCCACACATAAAGATTGTGCAGCCTGCCCTGCAGGCTGATGTGTGTCTATTTACATGTGGAAAGCTAACAGGGATTATTTAGGAGGGCTGTTCATGATGCAAAGATGTCTCTTCAAGATATGCTAATCTCTTTTTAAACCATTAGGCTAYTCATTGCATCAGGGGATGGAATTTGGCCTGCATTTAGACTCAGGGGACCAGCAAACAAAGATTCTGTGAAATCAGGTACTCCCTTCACTTTGCTGCATTTTAGATCCGTTCAAAGAAATCCCTCAGATTTGGAGGGGCACCAAATCTCAGTGTTTCAAAACCTTGGGAACATCAGCAGTGTTCTAGCCATCTCTGAGACACTGAAATAAGTTCATGGACAGGTAACCCCCAAATTTTATTAAYAATTTGATCAAAAAGCTGTCATGCCACAAGCATATTTCAATWTCAGAAGAAAAGCAGGTGCTTGCTTTCTTGTTCAGCAAAGCACATAGTTACATTTACSCAAACCCAAGAAAGCACTTTCTGCAGTATTCTCCTACTGCCAGTTGGATTTAAACTTCTGAAGTGGTTTGTTGAGCTGAATCCATAAAAATAAGTGAGTTATTTTAAAAGAAAGAATTACTGTACAGAAAATTCTGCTAAAGTGGCTCCTGACCTCAATTTTCTAATGCTTTGCCTCCCACTAAAATCCCTCGTGTTTTTCTTGAGGTTCAGTTGGACAAGAACATTTCCTTATTGCGTTTGTGTATGTTTTCAAAGCCATGTAAGCTTTGAGAGCCCTCTGTTCTCASAGACTCCTGGCTAAAGCTGTGAAAAACCATTTGGAGCACTTCAGAATATCGAGATTGCTTGCCTGACTTGAAGGTSTCATTATTTACGTCACACTTCGAGGCAGTTAAATGAATCCCTTCTTCTCAAAGCCCTGTCTTTTTTTATAATTTCATTCACACTTGCCTTGCAGAGGACAAGGGCAGGAAGAGACCAAGCCACTCACTCAAACAAGCCATTGACTCCAGCAAGAGGCAGGAAATGCTTTCCTGGTTTTGGGGAGAAGTGTTCCTGAAGAAGGAGCCTCAGAGGCACTCCGGATGTAAAAGCCACCACGTGCTGTGTGTGATAGCAGTGTGAAGCAATGGCACAAACACATTTTGGAATCTCCCAGCACTCTGTGGCCTGATTTTCATCTGTTCTTCATCTGTTCTTCCTGGCTTTTCCTGTTGGCAGCTCAAACGCCTGCTAACAGGAAATGCTAACTGTAATGTTGTTCTTCAGGCTACATGAATCTGAGTTATGGTGTCCAAAAAATGGTGTTGTTATTTCTTGAGCCCAAGTTTGAATGTCAAAGACTTGCAGGAACCCTCTGTCATTGGCTCAGTTGGTTTGAGTGGGGTGTGAATAATGCCAAGGTCCAGGTTCAGTCCCTGTATGGACTCCATGATCCTCGTGGGCTCCTTTCCAGCTCAGAATAAATAACCTGTGATTTTCACTGCAGTGGAGCAGAAGGACTTTGTTTAAAACACCTGACTCCTCTAGGACATAGTCCCTTATTGAAGCRTCTCAAAAAACTCTTCCTTCGTTTTCAGAGACCATATTTGACAAATTTTGGTTTACCTCTTACTCTGATTGAATCTTGACTAAAAATAGGTCAGAACATCTGAACTGTAAAACATGGCATGATCCCAAGGAACTTATTTTCTAGATTCATGCACTTCATACAGTCCAAATTCAGAAATCTTGCATTTGTGAACAATGGCTCCTGAAAGTCTTACAAGGAAACTGCTCCTGGACTAAAAATATGAGTATCCTCCTTCTCTATCCCCACACTAATTCCATATTATCTGTAGTAAGCAGAACTTTGCTGCCTTGACTCAAGATGGTGGAGAACAGTGCACTCTTGTGGGGCAAAATTAAAACCAGCAAGGAGCACAGATTCTATCTTTCCATAAAATAACAGAACTTTAAACAACAAAGTACTCAACAACAGTTGAGTAGCTTCAGTAAGAGAGGATGAAAACTGTTCCTTTTTTTCACTGGGTGATTCAGGAGATGAACCGAATACAGCAGCTTGGGTTCTACACTTTTTCCAGCTGAAAATCCTTTGCTGTGCACTCGGAGTCTGTCTCTCATATCTCATGGTTTTAATTCAAACCGTGTATTTAGAGAGAAGYGAAAAAATTCAATAATAAAGGAACTAAGGTTTTTCAGTGGATTAAAAATCAATAGTATTCCTCATAAATGCTTTAATGTGGGAGGAAAGGTAACACTCCATGATCTTCTGAATCAGTGGACAATCTGCCACTTCACTTCAAGGAGGATGCCCACATCCTGTCAGGAGCTCCATGTTGCATTGCAACACTCAGTGTAACAGGACTCTCTGTAATCTGGCTCCTTTGTTACAAAATCTGATCATTTCACCAGCCTGTTTCCTGTAAATCCAACAATCTATGGCATCTGTATGGCTCAGACAATCAGTTATCAGACAGACAATCCTTTCCTCCTAAATCAATAATTCAAATCCCAAGCAGTGACCAAAATCAATCCAACGACCAAAGGTCACTGGAGTCTGATGGATGCAGGGTGACTGCTATGAAATGAGTTTGTGGCTTCACTCAAGGCATAATAGTCAAGAGTCCTTTSATGGGGRAAAGAAAAGAAAGAAAAAAGARAACACCTTCAGAGCTGATAACATTTTCTGTGCTGTGCTGACAGATTTTAAAGAGAAAGACAGAAAGTGAGGCTGACAATCTTTTCCCTTCCAACAGAGGTGCAACCAAGTATGGGCTTGGTGTGCTTTGAAAAGTCTTGCTATCTGCTTTCTTTGAGGAAAAAAAAAGAAATATAAAACATTGTGCCTTTAATTTYGCACTGAAATCAGCTGTAAATGTGACCTCCTAATCTGAAGATGGTTTAGAACATTTTCTTTCCAGCCACAACTATAAACCCAAAGATATAAAACAGTATATACAGCAAAAAGCTGTCTTTAGTTCAATATATCTGCTAGTCATTACCTGCTCCAACTACTTTATCAATGGATATATTGGAAGCATCCAGTTCCTTGGCAAATTCATGCACAGCTTGGTTGGGATCCTCATATGTGTGGGGATCTACATAAGTTCTCAGGCCTGGGAGTTTTACTGTGAAAATAMAAATTCAGAGAGAAAATGTTACTCAGGCTCAAGTGATCCTTCTAAATAAAGCTCACRAGACAAGAGAACCCAAATCAGTAGAAGGAAAAGGTATTTTTCAGATCAAACTGGGTTTTGTGGGTYTTCAGAATCTTTGTACAGAGTRAAACCAGACACTAAGGTACTGCAGRGAAGTCTGGCAACCCATTTCAAATACCCTTATTTGTTGTATTTAACTGTTTTTCAAAAATAAAAATATCACTCACCTCTCCCAGGACACTACATTTAGAAGCTCCCTTATATAGACCCTTTCAAATTAACAAAAAAAGAGGCAAGGAATAAAAGCTGAAAAGTTCTTAGGAATATAYTAAGAAAGCAGATTAACTCAAACTTTTGTTTTCCCAAATCCTCCAACAAGATGCATAAAAAAGAAATTCATACATTAAAAAATACACCCCTGCCTCAATCCCTTTGTTCAAACATGCAAGGATGGCAGAAAATTGTTCTAGAGATTTGTTCACCTCACATCCATATTTCCTGGCTGGGGATTGCTGGAAGAGATCATTCCCAATGATCTTTGACTACAATAAAAAAAGCTGAAGGCAAAGCACAGCCTCATTCCCCCTCCCCAGCTCAAAGCCCTGCTTGTGCTTGCACCCCGTACCTTCTGTGCCTGCCTCTGTTGTACTCATTTTACAACAGAAATACATTTTATGAACAAAAACTGAAATAACCAGCTCGAAGTTTTCTGCTTCTGACACAAAMCCTACATTCCCAGACATGTATTCCAGCTTTCCCTAACTACACCAGTTGGTCTTGTAAAAGATATTAACTCCTTCTACAAACACTGCTTTAACCCACTCAGGAATATCCTTTCCAGATTAGCATTATTATACTGCAGCAATTTTTTCACWGCAAAAACAGTTAAACCTTTTTTTTGCAGGGGTTACACAGATGGGAAAAAATACCTTTAAACAATGAGTTAGAGCCCAAAATTGTTTYATCAAACAAAGCAAAGTGTATATAAAAAAAAAAATCAATTTTATGGGGATTTATTTGCCTCAGAATTGACAAAATTGATAAAACTGAGTTCCCAAACTAATTGCCTTGAGAACAATGCAGACTAAGAGCCATGCTCTCCACACAAGGGTTGCATGTGCACAGCATTAAAAGCCCACTSTGTTTCCTTCAAGAGCCTGATGATTACAGAATTACCTGCAAGTAAAACAAAAAGTAATTGGCTGTATATTGCTGTTGGTTAAAAATCTTGTAAATGCCCCTTTCCGTCCATGCTGAATGTACATTACAGGCCCCCTCATATCCCCAATAAAAATAACAATTAAAAGCTTCTGCACCGTGGGGTTTTTGGCTTCGGGTTTTTAATGCTGACCCCAGAGGTTCCCAGGATCAGGTGATGGTGACTGCAAGGGGAATAATCCCTTCACACCAATAATTAAGGGCAGCCCGTGTAGTAACTGGGTTCTGTCATGAAATGCAGATAATAAACACGTGCACATGTGTTAAGCTGCACTACTTTACAGCTCATTCTGTGCAAACATAATAATTTACATTTTCATTTTAACAGCACAAATTGCCCTAAAGGTAGCAAAAAAATAAAAAAGGCCCAGGCATAGAAAGCAAAGGGAGAGGATCTGAGGAGGTGAAACATTTTTGTTCCTTTGAAGTAATATTATAGGATTTGTAATAAGGCTGCAGGGAATAGTTCATGGCTGGAGCCTTTTTAAAAGTAATTCAGAGTAAACTGACTGAAATAAACCAGCTGCTGTATTTAAGATGCTGAAAGTTTATGACAGCCATGGAAGTTACTTTATCCTTTTTTTAGTTCATAGGAGCAATTTTCTTATTCTCTAGGAAAGACTGTAATTTGGTAGATTAGAAGTTCCAACAGCCACACACACACATACACACAAATCCTAAYAGATAAATGTCTGCAAAAACCATAGTAAATAATTTTCAAGAATTTCTAACAGAAATGCCAGGCCCTCGATTGGCTMTGTTCTTACTGCACAGTGAATCAGCATGGCACTAGTCAGAAAACASTACGTAAATATCTAAAGCCAAATTAAAAGCAATTTAATCCACAGGAATTTAACARCACTGACATGTTTAAGAATAGTGATTGCAACTTTCCATTGTGTGGGAGTAAGGAGAGCAAATTTTGACCTGTTATTTGTCTGTGACACTTATTTTACTGGCTGCTTTTATTTTATAACCTCATTAAATTTGGATGATGAAGCATTAATTCTATGGGCCACATGTAACCTTAGAGATTCTTTTGAGAATAGCTGGTTAGCAGTTGTTGGGCTGCACGAAGCAAAYCCACTGCTACAGCTTGTGTATCCCCTGACAGTGCTGGGGAAGGAGACAGGAATTGTGGATATTCATGCTCTTGGCTCTCTGGAGRAAAAGAGGGGCTGGAAACTTAAAATTATGATAATTTGAGCAGTCAGAGAACAGATACCCCATTGTCATGAGGATTGGGAAGCAGTTCTAATTTCCAGCTAGTTCAGGTAAATCCTTCATTAAAACCTTAATGCACTTATATTTGGGGAGGAGGCACCTGGTTATGGTATCAGCAACTCTTTTCTTAAAGATGGTACAATACCAATTGTATTGATTGTACAATGCCAATTTTTTTGTCGTGTACAAAAAACCCCACATATATTAATGTTACAACGTGCTAGGCAACAGAAATAAATGGTTCAACATGGTTTACATGGCATAGCAGGACGTTCATCTGGAGCTGAAACACTTTCAAAGATGAACTACTGCTTCTTGTTCTACAAATCCTCATTAGACATCAAGAATTATGTGAGTGATAGAAAAGGAATTCCTGATCTTGGTGCCTATGAGGGGCATTATCTTTGCTTGCAAAGATATAAAAATCCAATGCAGYGATTAAAAAGAGCCCAGAGAAATCCCCCCATTTCTTTAGTGTTGATCAAGATGGGTTTAATTGATTTATATTTTGCTCTGGGAAAAAAAAAAAATTCTTAGACTTCATATAATGAGAACGTTGCAGTTGTACTCTGCATTTCAGTGAGGCACAGCAGAATCAATATCACAATTCCAACCACATGTACTGTTTGAACATAGACAGGGATGTTTTGCTCATTACTAACCTGAACACAGATGAAAGAAGTTGAAACAAAGAATAATTGTTTGGGGAAAATCTCCTTATCCACAAGAGAAGAGATAAATCTCTTCCTAATTTCACCTTGGTTTAACTGAGGTATGGCTTTTTTTTTTTTTTTTTTTTTTATTTTGAAAAATACCAACTACCTAGGGAATGAATTCAACAGATCTGGAAATATTAAAAAGTTTCAGTAACTTACAATGGCCATTCCCAAAATGCAGCCTTTTCTCATCAGTGCCATGTTTAGACTTCTTGTATCCACAGAATCTGCAAGCAACAGAGAAAAAAAAAATTAATATAGAGAATTTATGTGTTAACTGCAGGTGGAAACAGAATAAAATGTTTTCCCTGCACAATTAAATGCCTGTTTGAAAGTTTAATGATATTTACATTCTCCGTGCCCTATAGAGACATGTGATGTTCTCAGGGAATTTGAGGAAATTGGCTAATGAGAGGATTTGTTGATTTTTGACCCCTACAGTTTAATTTTACAATTGCCTGAGAATGTGTTTATAGCATTTTTTAACAACTGCTGCATGATTCGGGCTGCTAAYGTTAGCAGGCTCATTACTGACTGTGAGGCAGTGTTTGGAGCTCCTGGGCAGCAGACAAAGGATTAAAAAGCAACCACACCTCGACACTCGATGTGCCATGGGCAGCAGGGACCGTCTGGGATGTGGAAAAGGGAGAAAACATGCAAATCAGAGCCCAAACTCACCTCCCAATCAAAATGTACACCACCACTGTGAGGAGAATGATGGCCACTGCTGCTGAAATGGCAATCATCACCACCTGGCTGTTCTCACTGGAGATGGAGAATGCTGCAAAGCCAAGACAAAAAAAAATAAATAACCTCACACACATCTCTTTGATGACATCACAATTGACACACGCATACAGGGGACAGACATAATTATACAGCATTTAGTCTCCTGGCAGATACTGAATCCAGCACAGATTTTTTCATCAAACAAATAAATACCAGGGGGGAAAAACAGCCAAACATAAGAGTCCAGCCATCTTCGGCAATTTATCGAAGTTGTTTCTGCCACTGTTGATTTTTACTCTTGCTAATTGTAACAACTGCTGGTAAACTGATATTTATGTATAAACATATATATAAATACATATGTACATGTCATGTATGCCATACAAACTTTATGTCATGCACAGTAAAGAACTTTTCCTTGGCAAAAAATCCCATAATCATCACCTTTACTTTGTTTTCTGTTTGATGTAAAGAGCTTTAAGGAGCTCAGGTTCCCAGTGAAGCCTGACAATGACCACCTGAAGGCTGTGGAAAGCCAGGGCACACAGACACAGATATCTACAGGAAAAATGAGCGCTATTTCCTGCCTTGTGTTGGCCATCTCCCTGTGGTCCCCAAGCATGGAGTTTTACACTGTTATTGAGATGTGCACCACTGTCTCCTTCCACATTTCTACTTTTTCTTTCCCCCCTTCTTTTGGCAACATTATTTTGTAGAGAAAACTCATTACCCTCTAAATTCTAATTTTTTTTTTAAATCTCTGGAATCAATTTTTTTTCTCCTTGCTGTAACTGTCCCATCTCAAGTTCTAGTTTCAACCAGAATGCCCAAAGCTGCAAGTGATCATAACTGCATTTTGTAACTGTTTTTTTCAAACATGAAACTTTCTTGCTTTTCAGAATWAGAGCTGGAGTGGAGAAGGCAGAAGTGAGGACAAAATACAACATATCACAAATATACACGGAAGCCAAGTGGAGGATTTGGCCTGACACTACTCTTTGTTTTTCYATCTTCAGCATGAGCCAAGGTCTAGCAGGGTATTGATTCTGGCCTGAGGGAGAAATGGGGTAGGGAATAACACCACCTGTGATAGTTATGGAATTCTCTTTATAGCGTGTTTCAAGTTTAATGATAAAATATAAAGTTGTAGTACAGCTATGCTACCAAGAAAGACACATCATAAATAGTTATGAGACACATTTCCTCGGCTAGAAAAGGAGCAAAAGCAGCCATTCAGATCAGTCAGAAACCAGGCAGGATGTCAGTGTAAACCATTTGAACAAATACATACAGTCTGGGCTGGTTTCAAACTCAAACTTGCGGCTGCTTGTCCCGTATCCAGCTGCAGTTCGGGCTCGGATTTGGAAGACATAGGTGGTGTCAGGCTTGAGGCCACTGATGGTGACATTGGTGCCTTTGGCTCTCAGGATAGTATAGCTTGTCTCTTGTTCCTGCTTTTGAAAAAATAAATCATCAGATTAAAACCACACCCTAAAAACCAGAGGTGGCTGGTCCTAAATTAGTACAAATGTCCTGGAGAAAGAGAGCTGGCATATTTCTCAGTATTTATAGCCGACAAGTGTTTGTACGTACATTCATTTTCAATCATCTTTTAACAAAGTATCTAAATCATCAGATTTTCCATGGGAATGTGCTGTAAATCGAATATTAAACATGCTGAGTGTATAACGTGTTATTAAATGGCTTTGCATCGTTTTCTCCGTGGTCTGTAACACAACAAGAAAATTATTAACATAAATCAGATTTGCCTACTGCACTGACCTGGAAGTTGTAACAGGCCAACTTAGACATTTTAGGGCCCTRCAGAGCTGTTGCAGGATGCTGTTTTTATGGCCTCACATTTTACAAGACAGTGGTTACCTTTATAACAGTCAGAAGGGAGACTCCGCTTGGGCTCCTCAGCTCAGCAAAAAAGGCAGATTTAGCTGTTTTTCTACTATGCTATAAAAATGATGAGATGGTTGTGTCCATCCTCATTTGGACAAAACTACACTGAACTCAGTCCTGGACTACGTTCATAACCCCACTCTGCTTAATAGTCACCTATGTCTGACATAATGCATTTTATATAAAATAAGAGGAGGACTAGTTTGTAATTTGGTAAGTTTGGATACACTTCACACTGTGTAAAAAGCTCATTCTGATAAAAGTATGTCTCAGTCCTGCTGTAAGCCCATAACATTAACATTCAAGCATGCATTTGGAGCCTGAGGTACTGCTTATTTTACTAAAGTCATCTTGTACCAAAAGAGCATTTTTGGCTTCCTAAATATGGCAGCTGGAACTGTCTCAGGAAAAAAAAAAATCTTGGCCAGCAGCCACACATGTGGGAAACTGTGAGAATCTCAATTGTTTARGTTCTCCACCATGAACTTTTTTCTATTCTGGAGGTGGTGGGGGATTTCATCTGATGTCCTTTTACTTTGAACACTCTGCAAAACACTGCACCCATTGAGTCTTGGCTGGTTGGGAGCAGAGAGTGAGCGGACGCACGTCGGACGCAGAGAATCTCACCTAATTCCTGTTCTGTTTTATGGCATTGCCTTAGCTGGAGAGGGGATGACATTCTAACTCTGGAGCGCCAACACACGGGCACGGGGGCTGGAAAATGCTCAGCACACTCATTGCCAAGGCCATTTCACCTCCATGTGTAAAGTTCAAGTGACTGGAGCTGTTTTAGTATGTTTACTCTGCTCTGCTGTCTGCGGGAATGAAGTCAGGATATTCTAGGTTAGTAGGTGAACATCAGAAACTGTTCACTTTGGTGCTAAGGAAGCCTAAGTGCCCAGTTCTTGGCAAGCTTTGATAGAAACAGAAACATTTACACCATATGTAGGGGGATTGCCAGAATCTCCAATAATGTTCAACATTATGCTCAGGAGAAATCACAGTGTAAGGAAAAAAAAATTAAAAAGAGAGAAAAAAACAAAAACAAAAACCRGAAAAGCAGCTAAGCCCGTGCCTARAAGTTACCATCCAGAATCCAAMCCTCTGATAGGGTGAGCTGGACCCAGTCTTCAAAGAATGACCATAAAAATGTTTAACATGGCCCATTTTCTTTGCTCACTAAAAATAAAAAGGAAATCAGCATTGGACCTCCTCAGAGTTTCTCTTTATTCCTCTAAAACATTGTCTGTTATAAATTCAGGGGAGCAATTTTACAGGAAGACACTCTAAAGAGCTAACAGGCTTGTGTAAAACTATTTATTTTTGAACTAACAAAGGCCTAGTATTATAATTTGTAGGCTTTCCTTATCTCATCATTCAGTTGGATGTAGGCAACTATTTTAATTTCAAAGACATAATAATCTTGTCTTTAAAACACAACATCTTTTGTGTATGCTATAACTGGACATTCATTTTGATCTCGCTTCAGGCTGCTTTTATGAAATGCAAACATTTCCTTCTGCTGCAGATATATACGTGCAAGGGAAAATATAGACATGGCCCTGTCTGTTAATAATCCACATTAAAACTTGGAAAATAAACCTTTAAAACAATGGCATGGAGGATGTCATGGTATCTCAGTTTATGAGAAGCTTTTTACACACATATTTTGTAAGTCATTTTTTATGTTACTAATAATCAAATCAATGCAACACCACATAAAAGCTCAAGTTTATCTTTCTGGGGGATAAAGCAAAACTTCAGATACAGCACTATAGCTGCCATAAGCAGAAGGAACACACAAAAGGGAGAGTCAGTCTTTGCCAAGCAGAACTTTAACCAARCACTGTTCAAGGATAAATTTGAGCTTGGATGCATAAAGCATTTTCTTCCTGAATATTTCTGCACCGTTTACCAGACACAATCTTTGCTGGGAAGCAAATCCCACTGCTGTTAGTGTCTCATTTGCAAGGGACATTTTATAATTTTATGCTATGTTTTACAAAAACCCTATTTTTGGAGACATTTTAAATTGATAGTGGCAGTAGTAGTAAGGCTGAATGGTCTGTCCTTTCCCACATAAGCACAGAAAGTGCTTATATTATATAAGGAAGAATATTTTTTCCATCAGCTTCATGTACACTTTAGAGGCCAAACCTGACTGCACATTTCTGGGAGGAGTCCACAGTCTTCATAGTGTTTCCCTTATTGCCAGAAGYGAACTTTTCATGGATATGACATTTCCTACAAGTCTCATTCAGTATTTGTGGCCTATCTACACTCAAAGCCAAAATAACAAAAATTTAAAAGCAACTAAGTGCATCTGAATGCACTTTTTCAGTCCCTGTACAAAGTGCAGACTAATATGTTGTCTGTAATCAGTCTACTGATCACACAATTTTTATGATGTAAAAAGCAAATCTATTTTAGCAGTGTGAGACTCCAACTGAATTTTACTCACTGTTTGCAGAAGGCTCTGTCTTAATGAAGTGTACGTGATTTAGTTGGCAATATTGTATGCCACATATTTAATTGAAAGTATTAATAGTTTATGAGTGCTATTTAAAAGATGGCTTTTCTTCTCTATCTTTGCGTGACAAGATACTCCTTCAAGAAAACATAATTATGTGAACAAAGACAAGGAGGAAACAAAGTATAGGGCTCGTGTAAGAAAAAAAACATGGCTTTGTTATTTATGCACTTTGATGGTTGAGACACTTAAAATTCAGCACAGCATTATGAGGATGAACTAAACTGAGGTATCATTTAGTACCATCAACTTAAAATAAAGTGTTATGCTTTGCTGTAAAATAAATGCCAAGGAATTGCTTATGGTTTCCCTCTGAAGGAAGGTTTTATTTCTTTTAAATGTTTTGAATAAATATTGACTGGGGCCTCGTAATCAAGCTCTAAAGATTTTTTTTTTTTTTTAGAAAAAGAATATAATTTTATTCCAAACACTGATTCTGAAAATATGCCCTCAGTTCATAATRTTATGAAGTGTCCAAGGCCAGGCTGGATAGTGCTTTGGGCAACGTGGTCTGGTGGAAATTTTTCCACCTATTTTCTGGTGGAAACCTGTCCAGGGGGTTGGAACTGATGATCTTAAAGGTCCCTTTCAAGCCAGGCCATTCCTTTTGATTCCTTCCAAAAAGTTAAAATAGTTTCCTAAAAACATAGTTACTGATTTCTTTAGAAACATATAAAACTCTGCTCTTTGGCTACACAACTGGTGAAAAAACCCCAACTGAATGGGTTAATTAACCACTCTTGAAAAACTGAATATATTCCACATATTTTATGACAATAATCCATTAGAAAAAACTACAAGATATTATAATTTAGATACATGACATTCTATTTTTATTCCAAATCGCTTGTAACATCCTAAATACCTTAAAAACAGCCTAGCCAAATAATTTCATGAACAAGATGTATGACAGAATTGGGCTGACCTGTACTAGTCTATTAATCCTCTATTTTCTAATTACTAAGAGATGACAGAAGTTATATCAACTGCAAACAAGTAGAATGAAACAGAATGGCTCAACATCAATCATCTCCCAGCAATCAGGTGGATGACATGTCAGGAGAAATACCCAGATCCCTGTGAAGGGTTTTTTTGCCAGCATTTTTCACTCTTCTGGGGGTTTTCTGATGAGCACAACCAAGATGATTTCTGAAGCAGAAAAGCAAATGGACTGGGCCAGTTTAAAAAGAAATGTCTCTTTCTAGAAGAGGAAGGGAGAAATAATGCTTAGAGATCCCAGACTGAAAATCAGCATCCTGCAAAGGTGATGATGAAGGAATGAAGAGCAACAGTCCAGCATGAGCTGTTGGAACCTCAGTTAAGTTTGACAGAGCATGAGTTTTGAACCTATTATAATTTGCAGTGCTTAAAAAGACTTAAAGTCTCCAAGTCTCCTGACAACAGATGTACTTGGCTTTTTTTTCCCCCCCTCATAAACCCTGAGGTATAGGCTTCTGACTCCCCAGGGGCCTGCAGAACGCACATTAAAAACGCTGGTGCCAGAAGGTTGGRTTTTTAAAAGCCTTTTGCTCAAAATGGTCTGGCTCCCATTGTCAAGCACTTGGCTCCCTGGTCTGAGAAAACTGTCTGGTGGATGTGAACTCTTGATCACAGACTTCAAAGGGGAGAAACACATGTGCAAGGTCAGCCCCCTACCACTGCCTGGTTGTCTTATAAAGCTGTCTTATGACAACCAATTGCTCCATGGGAGTGGATACACCTGGTGGGAATGGGAGCTGCATGCTCTGTCTGTGCACACAACAGCACTGGATGGCAATTTTCTTGAACAGAAACCACCAATTCCAGTGTAGAAATATGATCACAACATCCCAAACCAACACAAATAAAACTTATTGGTGATTTARTTAAAATTAACTTAATGCACACAGCAGGGGAAAAAAAATCACTCCCTTAGGAGCAACTAAAACCCAAGAGATCACCTGTGCTGCTTTTGGCTGGGGTAGAATTAATTTTCTTCACAGTAGCTCGGATGTGGCTTTGGGAATTGTACAGAAAACGGACAGGCTTGGTAATAAAGAGATATTTTTGTTATTGCTGACCAGTGCCTCTTACACTGCCTCACCACTGCTGGGGGTGCACAAGGATTTGGGAGGTGGCACAGCCAGGAGAGCTGATTCCAGCTGAGCACATGGGATATCCCACACCCCTTGGCACCAYGTTCAGCATGTAAAGATGGGAAAGAAGGAGGAAGAGGGGGATATTTGGGGCGATGGCATTCCCAGGTCACCATGACATGTGACGGAGCCCTGCTCTCCTGGGGAAGGATGAACACCTGCCTGTCCATGGGAAGTGCTGCACGAATTCCTTGTTTTGCTTTACTTGGTAAAGTGTCWTACCTCAAACAATGAGCTTTCTCACTTTTTCTCTAACAATTCTCTCCTTATCCCACCAAGATGGGAGTGAGGGYGGCTGTGTGGGGTTTAGCTCCAATCTGGGATTAAACCACCACATCACCCTAATTCCATGATGCACAGAGCTGTGTGTCATAGCCTTCACCCTGGAGTACAAAATTGCTCAGGCCAGGGCTTCCACCTGGGGAGACTGGAGCTCTTGGAGAAGAAAAGTGTGGCCACTGGCRGCAAGAGCAGTGGCAGGTGCCAAATGAAACTCAAGCTTTTCATCTGGAAAAACAACCTGGTGTGTGCAGACCAGGCTGAAGTTCTGGCATCTTTCAGGTGTAGGCTCTTTGTGATGCGAATAACTACTTCAAACCTTACTGAAAGACAATAAAAGTGTCTCCTTCCTTAGAGAAAATTTGTGAATAAGGGACCGCAAATAATTCCTGCATGCGTTCCATAGTGAGGTTGTACAAATCAAGACAATCTGATGTGTGAGGTGGTTCATCTTTCCTTCTCAAGTTCAGGATTTGAAACTGATTCTGACCCCGCTGAAATTTAAAAAAATAAAACAAAKTGGAAGTCCACAGGATGCTGCTCCATTAAGTGAGACTGAGCTGAAATGTTTTGGATGCTTTCTTTTTCTCCCTTTATCAGTATCACGAGATATGTTTAGATTTTTACCAAGGTCTTTGAAGATTCAAGTGCTCACCAAAAACTCTTCCCAAAATCAGATTACATAAATCTTTTCAGTTTACAGCCTTCTGATTCCCGTTCCTCAGCTGAAGATCAAGCAAGAATTATGAACACCATATTGTCCCACTGGAAAGCTCCATGAGAAAACCTTGTAAAGATAAATGGAATATTCATGGAGTATTTTAAACAGCATTTTCTTAAAGGATATTTTCACTACGTCTTCTCTGCTGTGTATGAAATACAAGCCTGATTATTAGATAGGAAGAGCATCAGTAAATGCTCAATTAAATCTGTATTCTCACTCTTTTTTCAAAATTTGTTAACTCCAGTAGCAATATCAAAAGCAATATCAATATAGGCTTTTGATTTTTAATATGAAAAGCAGTATCAAAGACCTATCAAAAGGTCTCTCTGATCTAGCAAAAAATGGCTAATACCACACTTCTCAGTCTTCACAGCAATTTATGGTCTTTTCAACTCTACCACTAAGACCTCCTAAAAACATTCTATTATAAAGACTTKTTTTAAAATATAGTTCTCTATGGGATGTATAAATAGACACTCGTAAATAAAATGTCAGTAAAAAGCAGAACCTATTTAATTGCACATTTTCTTTAATTTGTAGCCATTTACTCACAATATATGAAGAATTCAGCTATTAATAAAAAATGGGAAAATTCATAATAAATAAATAAATATTAAATATATAAATAAATAAATAATTTTGATGTAAAAGATGCTTGTGCCACAGGGAAGCCGCAGCACATGGATGGTGACAGATAAATGTATGAGCACTGACAGCATGATGGAACTAAGCAAATTTTACTCAAGAAAGYAAGAAAAGAAAGGAAYGTCATATTGACTGCACTACTTTGYTTTTGTTCTGGTGTGTTTGGGGMTGAATTTGGTAGACAACAAAACGAYTTCACTTTGTATTTCCTGATGTTCTCACTACCAAAAATCGAGCAGTTTCAACACTTTGTGCCACTGAGGCAGACTGAGTGACCCTGAGTGTTTCTGCACCCTGAGCACAGGCACAATGCAATGATTCCATCACAGTATTGCTGAGATAAAACCCCTCCCCTTTGATCTTCCCACCTTCTCATAGTATTTGACCTCGTAGTCCAAAATGATCCCGTTGGGATGCTCRGGCTCCTGCCAGGAGAGGGACACGCTGTTCCTGGACGTCCTGTCCTTCCTTATGGCTGTGATGGGGGATGGAGCTGCAGAGGGAATGGGGGAGGAGGGGAGAGAGAAAAGCAAAGCAAGTTTATCTCCGTTCCAGGTCTCCGCAACGAGCATGGTTCCCGTTTGAACAACTCCCGAGCAAAGGTCTGGCCCTGCTTCAGCAGYGAGCAGCTGGATTGCAGCCCTGGTGCTCCTGCCTTGGAGCAGTCTGGCCTCATGGAAAACAAGCTGAGATCTGCTCCTCGACTCAGGGACTGGTGGCAAGGCAGCAGATGGTTTTGATCTGCTACTACAGTGTAAGCAATGAAAAATATTCAACAGATGAAAATAYGGAGCAAAACAGCAGCACTGTCCATTTGTTCTAACGCTGAGATATTACCATTACCAGACTGCAGAACYCTGACAACATTGTGATATGAGAGTCTAAAAGAGTGCTGGGATACCTTAGGTACAAGGAGCTCCTGGTATCCATGGCTGGGAATAACCATCAGCTGAATTCAGCCTTGTTGGCATCATTATTTTCTAAGCTCCCCAAATAAAAAATTGSTCCCATACACACTTCTCCTTCAACACACTTTTTTGAAAACAAAATTTGAATAAAACAAAAAAATTAAAACTGCAAAATAACATCATTTTTTAATATCTATTGATTGGGGTTAGGCATGACAACTGATTGCATGGCACAGATTCACCCACCACCCACGACTTGGAAATAATATCAATGTTAAACAGACACACCAAAAATCGTAATGACTTCTTAAATTTCTTGAGCATTGGTTCGGTTTTAGACCACCCAGATCCATAAGTTGTTCCAAAACCAGGTCTGAGTTTCCTGGACTCACTGAAAGCAGTGTAATTTTTTTAATTTTTCTTTTTGTTGTTTTGTTTCTTTTGGGTTGGCTTCCCACTCCAAATGCTTCTTTTCCATGGCTTTGGCCAAAAGTCATCAGATTATATCTTACGCATCACACACACAAGGTTGYAACTGTCATTTCAAAAAAAAATCTTTTACTAATAAACAGCCTTTTATCTTAACATGTAAATAAAATGTGTTTATAAGTTCAACATTTGTTATCCTAATAAAAAGGCTCTATAGCTGATCTCAACAATTTAATATCAGCTGGATCCTGTGAAGCTTTTATTGTTCAAATAAAACTAGCTGCACTTTAGAGGCATTACATATTTGCAAGCTTTAGCCAATGTTCTTTCTGTCTGGGTTTTCACTTCTGCAAAGGTGGCAGGAGGAAAAAAAAAGATAAAGAAAAAGGAGGAAAAAGAGAAGAAATAAATGTTTTAATTAAAAGAAATTTTTGAAAATTCATTATTATGTTTTTGATTTTACTAGAATTCCAGCAAAATATACCTTCTAGTCCTGAATCACAATCCAAGTGTTGAAATTCTCTTTTAATTGAGTAGTGGATCCACTGTAACATGTCCATTCTGTGTTTAAGGCATCCTCTGAACAGTACTTTCACATTTCCCATGGTTCAAAAAAGATTAAAAATTTGATTTTTTTTTTTCTTTTTCTTTTTCAGGAGAAATTTATCCTGAACTGGAATTATTAAAATCAGTTGCTGGAGGGTTGTTTTTTTTCTTTTTTTTTTTTTTGTAAGGTTTCCTTTATTTCAAGTAGAATGGGAAAGGGTCTATCTTTTTGCCTCACTGGATCTGTGCTTGGTGAAGGGCACTTAGGGGAAAATAGACAGGATTTTGTGTAACAAACATTTTTCAGCAATTCCACTTGAGTTCCACAAACCATGTCAGAGCCAAACACAAAGTGCTTAGCAGGCTGAACTTCCCTGCTGTAGCCAGCTCCATGTGAACTCATATATTCATACTTGCCGGTTTTATGCTCTCCTAAGTCATTTTTATGTCTTCTTTTTAAGTCAAGCTATTTATNTGTATGTGAATAGATCATCAAGCCCAGTACCCAGCTGGTAACATTTCCCATTAAGGTAAAATTAATACCGATTTTATGAATAATTAATATATGATTAACAGAAATGGCTTTTCCCCTAATAAATTATGGTAATTTTGCTCAAACAGATTCTCGGGGCAGGCTGAAACAATCTTGCATGCTCCAAYACAGATATACTTTTTTTAAAAAGCTTTCTTCTAACACAGTATTAATTATTTTGAGCTCATTTGCACACATCYCTGCAGATGCTACCAGTAACTTATCTCCCAGCAGTTTATTAGAAAACATCTGCTCTGCAGTTATCAATAACATTATAAAACATTCATATACCTGCTCTAATCCCTAGGGTTCCCAAAGCTGCTCAGAAATCAGACACACAGAGTGTCTGGAAGAGGCAGCATCCCACTGCATGGGCACAGGGAGGGGACATAAATAATCARGGGAACCTAATGCTTCAGCCACCTTTAATCCCACACCAAGGTGAGAGAAAATGGAAAAAATTCCCAGTACAAAACTTTTTTTTGCTCGTCAGTGAGAAGCCAGGCTGCCAGTTTTAAGGGCATTCCTTTTGGGGTTTCTGCAACACCTGTTGGACAGGTGGGTTTGGAAAGTGTTAAGAAGTCTTGAGCCCAATTAAAGAAAATATCTTGTTCAGATAACTTCCAAGTTTATGCTTAAATCTACTGCAATCAATGAATTTTAGATCCAGTAAGAGTTCAGGTAACCTGAATATGGCCCCAGCCCAGGGCTGGGGTGTAGYTGGGAGAAATAACTTGACTTTTGGAGCATTTCATTTATTTCTTTTTGTATGCACCGCCATATTACAATGTAAGACTTTATTAAGTCTGTTCTAAATAGTGTCAAAGCAGAAGTAAGCCTTAATTTCCATTTYGTAACACCAGAGAAATTCAGTTCCTGTATTTTACTATTTAATTGGAAGTGTCTGCAAATCCAGCAGAGAGAAAAATCGTAAAGGAAGTTAACATTGTAAACCATTAAATATCATCATGCTCAGCAATGCATAGTCTTTAGTCTTCCATATGAGGAAGAGAGAACCAAGAGTTTCCTGATTTCCTGAAAAGAATTAAATAACCCTATTATGATGAGACCAAATTCAAAATCAGTCCACAAAAAGGAAAATAAATACATAATATTCAGAACAGACATTTTTCATCAAATTTCCATTATTTTTCTATTTTAAGTTGGAAATTAAAAATGAAATTTCTATCCTAAATCTGCAGGTCCACTGACAAAACAAGRTTTGCACTCTGGGTTAGCAAATAATGAAACATTATGAAGCTTTCTAGAATCAACTGAAGTTTTAAAAATTATATTAAAGTATCAACCGAAATGCAAAGGTAAAATTAGTTCACCATTTAGAAAACATGCATTTAAAGGTAAAATAAGGAGAATACCTCCTTAGATTAGGAAGATGAATTAATGTTGTTTCAGTGATTTTTTAAAAATTAAGCCCATGTCCTGTATGCCTCTATGTATTTATTTTTAATTGATATTTTGATTAATGYATTACTACTACTTTTAATTTCTTCACTTAAATAACAGCCGGGTTTTTATAATTAACTTGAGGCTTGTGTAGACATACATGAATAGTTTTAGTCTCAGTAGCCCCACGCAATGCACAGAGAGGCATTTTTGCACATCAGATGGCCAGAATTCGTCTGGCATTGCACCCTAACTGCTTTAAGCACTTAATAGAAACCCTGAAAACTCCCTGGAGTTAGGAGGGGAAATGTACTTTGAGCACTCGGTGTTGTTAGGTAGCTTTTGTGACAACTGGGAACGTGGCTGTTGAAAAGGGAACAAACACAATGATTCAGGGAGCTSAGGCTCAAGTGTAAAAACCTCCCCAGTCAGGACTAAAGGTGCGAGCAAATAACGTGAAGGATCTGCAGAGATGACAATAAAACTCTACTCCAATTGATTTCCCACTGAAACTGACCCCAGCAGATGATTTGTTTTCCTCTRGTTTAATAGCAGCTATATATAAATTTCCTTATTGACTTTTTCCCTTGTTCCTTGGTTATTGTTTTCATATGTGACTGGCTTACAGATGGATAAATGCACTGGAAGAAAATTCCCTGTCCTGTGACAGGGAGAACTCGGTATTAACTCTGGGAAGCCATGTGTGTACAACTGCTGAAACATTTAGAGTCCTATTGTTTCTGGCTTAGGTCTCCAGATCACAAATAAAATATTAGGAAAGGATTTAATTCTAAAATGACTCACAGCTCACTTCCAGCTTTTGCTTGCAAACGAGAGTAAAATATGCTTTGCTATGATATTCCAAACTCTGCTGAAAGATGGTAACCAAGCAGAATTGACTCTGTTACTCAATTTTCAACTTCTGCCCTGCTGAACAAATGGAAGMCTTGTTCCTTTTTCCTTCTTTAGAAAACTGATGCTTTTATTATCTAATCATAATACTGTAATCTGATATAACCTATAAATTTCCTCTAATATCTATGATGCCCCTAGGAGGTAATGTGGAACAAGAGCAGTAAATAAAGATCATAACCTGAAAATTAAATCTGTGTTCTCTGACAGTAGGATCCACAGGGACCCAAACATAAATCTGTCAGTCTTAGAGGACCAGCAACCAAACCACAAAACTATCATAGAATTCAAAGCAGAAATACCAGTGTTTGAATGAACAAACTGATCTCTCACTYGGAGATGGTTTCTCTGGAACCCTGGAGCCAAATTCACAGTGTCAGGACATGASAGAGCCAACCCTGGTGCATGGCTGGGTCTGGCACTGCTCATAACGCTGCAYACACACATTTTAATTCAAGCAAAATCTGGATTTTTGTGAACCAACCTTTTATCTAAAGGTTTATCCATCAATTCCACTATTCAATTCTTTAATAAAGTCCTGAGTAAGCACGTGCAAATCAGAATAGTGATTGCACACCTCCATGACACGATCACATTAACATGAAGTCTGTGAACAGCTGTGCTTGTGCTTGGATTCTTGACCATCTCCAGCATCTATCCTGTGGATCAGTGTAAAGGGGTTTATTGCAGAAGCCTGCTCACAGAAAGCAGGACCTGCTCTGTTCTAAACCTTCTCTGACTGCACTCCTGCTCACCTTCTCT